AAGCATGTAAAGCAGCGTTTGCTGACTTTAACGAAGGAGATATCAATTTCATGCCTACTTACAAATACGACAACGGAACCGATAATTACGACACAAGGTAAAGTTAAGCATGAAGATAAAAGAACTCTGTTTATGAGCACTAGCCAACTCTATTTGTACGAAAGCGAGAAGAATCGCATACCAGCCTGGACAGATAGAATTTTATTCCGTGGAAAGAATGTAAGAGTGCTTACCTTATCTATCATGACAACACGTCTTTCGCATAACGCGAACTTATTTAATTTATCAATGTAGATACAATTGAAACGATATTCACGAGCTGAGATACGTATTTCTGACCATAGACCCGGTACATAATTTAATCATTTGTTAAAGATTGCTAAATGCAACTTTTGATTCTCACTGCCTTTGTTATCATGCAGTGTTGGCATTATTCAGCATTGAGGTGAGATATAATAATAATAATGACTTGGTTTGCAAAAAAAATATGACATGCTTTTTTAACTTGTTACTTCGTGTAGATTACCAAATATGACGAATTGGCGAAGGAGCGGATAAAAGAAGAACTGTATACAAAGAAGAAGTTAACTGTCGAGGTTACTGAAATTGAAACCTCGCAAATAGCCGTGAAAGAGGGAACCGAGTCATTGGCGATTTCCGAAGAAATCGGGACAGATTGTAAGTGTTTAGGTTTTTTTTTACAGAATTTTTAATATCGAGTCTAATCTTATAGTTTTAGGCCCTTGTGATGTTACTAGCTCGACGAGTGAAGGTTAGTATATCAGAATAGTTAACTGCATTGTTCAGCTTCTGAATGGGGATTGCTCTTTCGTGCAGGTGATGCTGCTGAAGCGACATCTGCTACAACAAAGTTGTTGGATAATACGGAGTCTTCTCAAGGCGAGTTTTCTGAATCAATACTTGCTCCCAACGAAAAATAAGCAAGACTCTACTATGTATGAAAAGAATGACCCAATAGGACCGATGTTGCTCTTTTAGTATTCTGAGATACTATATCATAGACTGTAATTACTATTATTTATCATTACATTCCATTCGCCGCAATTTTGCCAGTTTTCATGCTTTTTTGTATCCCAACTCATGCAAGCTGGCTTTTAAAGCATCCAATACTTGCTGAATATGTTGGCGTTCACTCTCGACCACACTAATACCCATATGCCTATGAGTATTGATAGAGAATAATTAAATATTTAGCAAGTCATTGAGAGTTAACAAGACGTAACATATGCTTACCCAATTCTAAAATATTTTGAAGCGATGGCTTTATGCAAACCGCCAGCAGCTACAATGTTGTGCGCCGACATCTTACGAAGAAGATCAAGACCTTGTATGCCTTCTGGATAATATGCTGCCGTCATGCCATGGGCTGCCATGTCTAGAGATTTTGGTAGCTTGATCAACAAGTAACAATGTTAGAATCATGCGATTCAGTAAGTTTCAGATCAACAAGCAAGAATGACATCTTGTACTCCACATACCATCTTCAGTCCCAACTCATCGAACGTACGTTTAATCATGTCACTGACTGTTTTATGCTGTTCAAAGCGAGCCTCAAGCGAGGTGGCTGTTAACTGCTTCAAGCTCGTATGGAGACCATAGATCAATTGGACTGGAGGCGTAGCAAAATAGGATGGCCTTTTCGCTTCGTATGCATTCATGACTATCGGATTTGTTTGTTATGGTAAAACATTAATACGGCAAGCATCACAGAGGTCGACACAGTAAAAGATTTATAACCTACTTGGAAGCCAATTATGCCAAGAGGCGTAATAACTAGTGACAGGACTCTTTCTGTTTTTGAATACGTCCTGTGATGTAGTTAATGTAAAATTATATGACTGCATATCATGCCCAATAAATTTCGAGGTTTGGTGAGGGCTTGGCTTACTATGGCTCTTTCGCTTGCTACTAGAATAGACAATCCTGGTGGCACGCCGATTGCTTTCTGGCTCGCACTCATTACAACATCCAGCCCCCATTCATCCATGCGGATTTCTTCGCAGCCAACTGAGCATACACCATCAACAACAACCAGCGTGTTAGGAGATTTCTTATGTACAAGCTCAGATATGGCTTTGATGTCTGAAAGTACTCCCGTGGACGTATCGACATGTGTAATAGTGACGATCTTGAACGTATTTTGGGAAAGTGCTTCGTGTATGCTCTCAATTGTAGGACGATCTCCAATTTCAGCATGAACTTGGGTCACTTTCGCACCGTATGTTTTAAGACTATATATAATCGAACAACGCGTTCAAAAAGCAGTTGTAAACAATATTTTTTAGTCTATTTATAATACTCACCAAGCTGTGAATGAATCGCCAAAATATCCGGAATTCAGTACCAAAGCATCTTCACCTTGCTCAACCAGATTTGAAGCTACCATATCCCATCCAAGTGTGCCAGAACCAGCCACAATAAATGGTTGGCCTTTCTCAGTAAACAGAAGCTTCCTTAAAAGTCCAAAGCATTCTCCAAACACAGGAATAAAATCAGGCGAGACATGAGAATGTGAAGGCGTGGATAATGCTGTGAGAACATCCTCATGAAACTCAATTGGACCTATTACATAAATGGTGTTATATCTCCACATTATAATTATTTCGTTTCGAATGTCTTTTCCGTACCTGGCACCATACAAAGCTTGTGTTGTTGATTTCCCGCCATAGTTCTAAATAATCTTGTCTTCAGGTACTGTCTGGGAATGGGCAGGAATGTACTTTTTGATGTAAGACACCGAGTGCGGAAATAAGGTATCATCTGTACATAATGGAGATCATCAGAAAAAATTTTGGTTCAATCAATCTACATACTACGGGTTTTTCGGTATCGGAACCCGTCACGTGAAATCAATTTCAAGATGGACTAGTCCTAATTTTGATGGACGCTGATATGTCATCAACGGAATTCTTTAGAATAACCACATAGTTAATATGTCGTTTTTCAGTATATTGTGTAAGAGTTTTCCCATCTACAGCGTTAGATTTAACAATGGCGCAAATTTTTAGTGGTTTCATTAATATGTAGACAAAATTCCAATGCCATATTAGCAGCATGCACATGTGTATAACTTCGGTAGACCTGTCAAAATTAATAAAATAAATTGTCCCTCTCCTCCATAATTAATAATGACGAATCATCATAATCCTGATTAAACCAGTAACCCTTATCGGGAACAATAAATCTGACAACTATCTATGGATCTATAATATAACGATAAAAAGCTTTTGTTTTGGTCTATATAAGGAAACAAAACTGGTCATAATCACTTGTCGCAGCAATTGAGTTTTGTAAGTCGTGTGCAGAGTTTTTCAAAAACCACGTGGAACCGTTTTATGTCACCTAGCCCCATAATCCATCAAGATGCTTTTTGCATACCTGCCATAAGTCTGTTATCACAAACGCGATTTGTGGCCTCTTCAATTACGAAAGAGAAGGCATAACAACGAGTGGCCTGTTCTTCACCGAGTAATGTCCGACTGCAAGTTCACATGTATTCGCAAAACTAATGAATGGAAACTTTCATGGGTGTACAAGGCGCAAAAACAACTCCGCAAAACGCTGTTAATACAGTTTCCATTGACCCTGGCGTACACCCTTTACGTGGTACTCGCCTAGTAAAGGTGTAGGTAAAATTGGCCAATACAACAATGGACGAATTATTCGCCTATGCAAGCACATTGATAATTTACTTTCCACAAAGGACAAACTGGCGGCTTCTAGTTCAAAACGTAAGAAGAAACATACCTTGATTTGAAAAATTTTCTATTTATAAATATGCATACAACATCCCAGCGACAAACATAAAAGCAATAAATAAATACATATAAACTATCCTCCGACTGAAAGCCGTCTCTCTCATCCTAAGTATCTCCGTCCTTTGCCGTAACTCCATTTCTGCCATCCCGGTCACCGCCATTTCCCTCCTGGCCACCGCTTCTGATTACATATTTTTCTTCGATATAAATTCGAGTCATCGATGAAAATATATAAGTTTTCCTCAGCTTCCTCTTCTAAGCGGGCCCTCTTTTTTGCTCTTTCTACCGCCACGTCGTTCTCCGCCGCAACCCGCTTTAATCTGGCGACGATGCTGCTAGGAGTTACCAGATATATTTTGTCCAAGTTAATATTGTTTTGCCATTCAGATTCAACACAAATAGAGATTATGGATTTGATTACTCCATAATATGTTTTAGATGCATCTAAAAAATTTCGCTGGTTTTTCGACCATCCGACACCGGATATCAATAAGGAATAGTATCCTGCATTGAATCGATTAATATTTTTCTGTGCCTCAGTCAGAGTACCAGTTTTGTATTCGTTATATAGAGTAACAATTCTCGTTTTGATATTATCAGTTTCTATGGGATGGGCAACTAACTCAGAAGTTTCGTCATAGAGAGACGCGTGTTATATATCGTCAGTTGCAACTTTATACAGTACGTAACAAGGAGCGTGAGAATCTGATATGTCGATATTGTCTATTGTAATACATGACACCTTACGACGATTGCCGGTAAATAATAATATCAATATCAATGTAAAAATTTTTTACTGATTAGCGAGTCTGACAAGCCACGTATTGGTATAATAATATCCAGTGAAACGTTTTTACTGTAGATACACCGGATATTAATATACTCCGGACCTGTTATGTGTATGACCTAAAAATAGACAATCCTTCCAATTGTTTCTGCTGTTTATATTTGTGTTGTTATCAATATCATATCAGTTTTCATACGCGTGGCTCATCGGACAGTGAAATTTGTTATTGCGTCAAGTTAAAAATCCTTCTAAATGTTTCCAAAGCATGTGACCATTTGTCATTGTTATATCATATTTTTATCGATATTATCAGTTTAATTAACTGCTAACCAGTGACAATTTTATTATAAATCCTTCAAAGTGTTTCTGCAGCATGTGCTGTTTATATTTACGCATTATATCGTATTATCAATATTATCGCTCACAGACGCTCTCCAAAAATAGATGTTGCTACAGCATGTGACTGTTTATATTTACGCTTATTATATCACCTCTCGATATTTGACAATATAACACATGACTTGTCTTCTCCAAAATACAATGTTATTTAAAGTATAAACAAACAATCCATCGAAAACCAAGAAAGATATCACGCAAAAATGCTCGTTGGGGGGGGGGGTCACTATCAATTTCGCGGCTAACGCAGAAGAATTAGGGTCCATGTTATTATCCAAAATTAGGCCTACACGTCAAAAACTTGCAGCCGGTGTGGGAGCATTCAAAAGTGCCTAAATGTAATGGAATGGCGCTCGGGGAATCTTTCTCCGGGCATTGCTTGATGGAGCCTTGATTCTCTCCGGAGATCACGCGGGAAATCGTAATAATTATTATTGATGTGTCACAATCCATCCGAAACCCAAATTGAACGAGCTTGACCTTATCCTTGATATTGATCACTCAACATTCTGAACAATTTGCATTCTAATCAACAATAATACGATAATATGTCTGAGGCTGAACGTATTTCCCTGTTTGAATCGATTGGTCTTACTCCACAACGCGCCAGAGAGACAGCCAAGAACAGTAAACTGGCATCCACCTTTGAACTCGTCATTACAGAGGCTGGATACTCAAACACTGGTTGCGATAAGGCTACAGGAGCTTTGCTCTATGCACTTGCTTCCACAATAACCAAAGATGCAACTCCTCATTTGGGATATATCTCGCGGGCTATATGTAGTAAAAAATTGAACACGGCGGACCAAGTCGCTGGTGAGACTTAAAATTGTAGAACTTTGCTGAGCATGCTAGCCGTGCGTGGTACCGCTTGACTGATTACGCTCTTACTATATATTGGGGTTGGATTCTGAGCAGCCGCTATAAGATTTACGGCGAATAATCCCGAAACAATTGATGATTCTAAATTCAATGAATACTGCGGCGTTGGTTGGTATCTCTCCCGATCGCTTTTTTATCCGAAAGAAACTTGTAATCTGTCTCTATAGGCTGACATTGAAACATCATATTACTTCTGCAAGGCGTAACCGTTACACCAGAGCAAATTAGCGAAGCCGTTAGTGATCTTATTGCCTCAAATAAAGATGCTCTTATAAGGGACAGGTATAAAATGCTCGGACGATTACTAGCTGAAGCAAAACAACTCCCTTCTCTAAAATGGGCTGTTGGCGTCGCCGTCAAGGAGGAAGTAGAAAAGCAAGTCTTGGCTTTAATCGGACCCAAAGATGAACGAGATGTAGTAGTCAAGAAAAAGGTAAGCGAATATCAATGTTGTGTTATATCACAGTCACTTTTTGAGGCAATCCCGTAACCAAACATCGTAGAACAAAAAAGAAAAAGAAAACAATGCTCAACCCTCCGCAGCACCAAAGAAGACTACGAGCAGGATCCCAACAATGTTTCTGGAAGGAGAGCTTGCTAAGTTGCATAAACCAGGTGGTAACAAGCAAATTAAGCCCGAGATCATGGAGGAACATCTTAAAGCAACTGGAGGAAAAGTAATAACACGGTTTCCACCCGAACCTAATGGATATCTCCATATCGGACACGCCAAGGCTATTAACGTAAATTTTGGATACGCGCTGGCTAATAACGGTGTATGCTATCTCAGGTGAATGCAAAGTCGTTGGTCTTCAAGGACACACTCGGCAATGTATGACGTTACTAATTTATTATGTATTTTCAATTACGTTATGTGAATTCTGTGCTGTTTTCACTTTTAGATATGATGATACAAACCCTGAAGGTGATAGCTTCTAGGATAATTTTTTTAAAATATAATACTCTATATAACTTAATGTCTGACTTCTTTGCAGCCGAAGAAGAGCGTTATTTCATATCGATCAAAGAAACAGTAGAATGGCTTGGATTTAAACCATGGAAGATTACCTACGCGTCAGATAATTTCGACAAATTATATGAATTAGCAGTTGAACTGATAAAGCGTGACAAAGCTTACGTATGCTTTTGTACACCCGAAGAAATGCATGAGATGCGTGGTGGGGACAACGGTGGAGCGCGTCGAGAGTGCAGTCATCGTAATCGACCTATAGAAGAGTCTGTGGCGGATTTTGTCAAAATGAAGGAAGGAAGATTCAAGGAAGGTGAGGCTACTCTGCGTATGAAAATGGACATGCAGAGTGGTAATCCGCAGTTTTGGGATCTTGTTGCTTATCGGGTTATGTATAAGCCTCACCATCGCACTGGTGATAAATGGTGCGTTTATCCGACATATGATTTCACTCATTGCTTGTGTGATTCGTTTGAGAATATTACGCACTCGTTATGCACGCTTGAATTTCGCATGTCGCGTGATTCATATTATTGGTTATGTGATGCATTAGAAGTGTACAAGCCTGTTCAGTTTGAGTATAATAGGTGAGACTGTTTGGTGGTGGTGGTTTTTTGCATTTCGATTTTTTCAAACCTGCGTTTGTACTGCTTATGTGTAGCTTCTTTTATGGATTGTTAAACAAATAATTTCTTTATAGATTGAACATCAACAATACGATAACGTCTAAACGCAAGATTGCAAAACTTGTTAACGAAGGTTATGTGTTTGGCTGGGACGATCCGAGGCTTTATACATTACTGGCGCTTCGACGTCGAGGTGTTCCTCCTGAAGCTATTAATGGCTTTGTCCAAGATCTTGGTGTAACTACTACTTCAAATACTACCATCCAAGTCTCGCGCTTTGAGAAATATGTCCGCGATTATCTGGATGAACATGCGCCGCGGTTAATGGCAGTCATAAATCCATTGAAAGTAATAATCGAGAATCTGCCTGACGATCATCTTGAAGAATTGACCGTTCCGTTCAAGCCCAGAGATCCTTCAATGGGAGAGGTAAGCTTAACGCGTTGCTAAGAATATAATAGATAATGCAGGTCAACTTACGTATACTGTAATGTTCCAGCATTCCATACCCTTCACAAAAGTCTTATACATTGATCAATCGGATTTCCGAGAACAAGATTCTCCTGATTACTTCCGCCTTGCTCCAGGAAAAACCGTTGGCCTTTTATATGTTCCACATCCCATTACATGTATAGACGTCAAGAAAGATGTAGATGGAAATATCGTTCACTTGGTGTGCAGATATGATAATGGTCCAGATAGGACGAAACCCAAAACATATATTCAATGGGTCAGTGAATCTTCAAAACACAAATCTCCCATTAAACTTGCAGAAGTGCGGGTATATAGTCACTTATTTAAGTCTGAGAATCCAGTATCAAATCCAGATGGATTCTTGGCAGACATCAATGAAACTAGCCTTGATATTGCGAAAAACTCTCTTATTGAAATTGGAATGCGGGATGTGATTGATAGTGCATTGAAATCTAAGCCATGTTTAGAAAATGTTCGATTCCAGGCACTTCGAGTAGGGTATTTCTGTTTAGACAAAGACACGATTTTAAAGGAGGCTGAGGGTGAAGAGCGACTTATTCTTAATCAGATTGTCACTTTAAAGGAAGATCCAAAGAAAAGCTAATAAATTAATCAACAAATTTAGATGACCTTACACGTGACTGGTATAAATTACGCTAATGTATGCCGCATACTCTAAATATGTAAACATACCTTTTCCAAATTAGTTTACCCTCCAACTTGCGTATACCCAGGGTACTGTATTCTTCAACTCTAATCCATTTCCTTTCTTGACATTTTAGCGAGTTACCCGCAGCTTGGTAATAAAGTCGTACAAGATATTATCACCTGCTTCACCGAAATGTCTCATTATATCAGAACACCTAAACCATAGCCGACCATTATTCGAATTGCGAGACAAGTGAGATGTTCAGTATACCAAATCTTTAACTGTTTGATTCATACCAATTAATACCAAATATCACTGTATAAACATTTTCACCAATAATATTTCAGAAACTTCTGACCAATCATAGAGAAATATACTATACGACCATAGTCACACAAAATCACACTTGCCATTTCTTGTAACCATCATCAATGCTTCGTTCTAAAATTTTGAGTCGCTTGAGAATAAAGACATTCCATACTTCCATTCTACATCGACAACAACATACCAACCCAAGCTCTCATAATGCATGGTCAGCCATATTTGAAGACAATGATCCTATTCCAGATCACTCAAAGTACCGCCGAATCACATCCACGGATGCAGCGAAATACGAACACTTCCCAAGAAATACCAAAATGCTCGTGAGGGATTTTGTCGATAATTCTTTATATAACCCATACTATGGATACTTTTCGAAGCAAGCACAAATTATTTCCACTGATATGGAATTTGACTTTAATTCGATGAGAAATAACAATGAGTTTTTGAAAATACTGGCAAAGAAATACGATGAAATAGAAGAACAGTTGGAAGAAAATCATGTGACAGCGAGACAATTGTGGCATACGCCTGTTGAGATCTTCAAGGTAATAATAAAAAATGGGGCTCCATCGACGAGAAATTCTCAAGTCTTTTGCTTGTGAATTTACGGAATTTCTCAGCCCGTCGCTCGTTTGCTTTTTCTGTTTGAGATGCGTACAATGATCAAACACTAACTTTACATTTTCTTTTGCTAAAAATATAGCCATGGTATGGTTATGCAATGGCACAGTATATGGTCACTGAGTATCTTCTTAATAGCTATCCTCACCAAGATCTTATTATATACGAATTGGGTGCTGGTAACGGATCTCTGATGCTCAATATACTCGACTACATACGAAAGTTTCAGCCGTCAGTATATGAGCGAACCAAATACAAAATTATTGAAATTAGCGCTAAATTAGCAGAGAAGCAGGCAAACCGACAGCGCGTTCGAGCAGCGAGAGACACACATAACTGTGTAGAGATCGTGAACGAGAATATTTTTGACTGGAAAAAATACGTGTCAGAGCCTTGTTTCTTCTTGGCATTTGAAGTGGTGGTAGGATAAGTTAACTGAACGCGGCCCTATTACAACATGCTTTTTTCGTTACGTGTATAAATTGTATATATACTATACAATATGTGTGCACGGCTAATGACATGTTAATAGTCATTTGTTACAACTATTTGACATTAATTCATACTTACAAATTTTGTTTTCTTTTTTGACTTTTTCTCTCCCTCTCCCTCTCCCTCTCCCTCTCCTACCCCATCCCACCTCTTCTCCACCCACCTCTTCCCCACTTCCTCCCTCTCTTTCCCCGTAGGATAATTTTGCCCACGATCTTATCCGTTACGATAATGAAACCGAAGATGCTTGGCAGGGTTTAGTAATAACTGATTCCGATGGCAATTTCCACGAAATTTACGAACCCATTAACGATCCATTAATCGCGCGTTATCTCTCACTACGCCAACAGACGCCTTATCGTACCCCAATCCTACACAAAAGACGTTTTCTACGCAAACTTCGAAGCCACTTACCTTTCGCATCCAATATGACGATGCCTGAATTCATTCCAACTAAACTTTTATTGTTTCTCGAAATACTAAAAAATTACTTTCCTTATCATCGTTTGTTACTCTCAGACTTTTATACGTTACCAGATACAATAGAGGGCATAGACGCACCAGTAGTACAGACACGCTTTGAGCGAACCACAGTGCCATGTTCCACGTACATGTTGATGCCAGGATATTTTGATATCTTTTATCCCACTAATTTTGAACTGTTAAAAGACATTTATCAAATAGTATGTCGAGCAAATCAGGCGACTGAGGACGAAAAGCATATCAGAATTCTGACGCACAAAGAATTCCTGGAACGTTATGCGGATGTGACGAGAACAACCACAAGAAGTAGAGAAAATCCCATGTTAATGTTTTATGAGAATGTAAAGTTTTTTCTGAGTTAAAAATATAAGTTATAATAATCGTTGATAAATGTACGGATTTGTGGATCAATTTTACCCGATATCGTTGAGTAAATAAATTATTATGGTGAATTATTTGTAAATTAGGTTTAGATTGGATAAACGCGGTATTACTATGGTTAACCAGTGAAAGCGAAACAAACAAACATATATGTCATGAGCAATTGCGGTGACATTATTCCCATTTAACCTAATTACCGTAATACGTAATTTTACAAGAACGAATATAAGGAATTCTTAATTAGACACGTCGAATTGTGTGATTAGCTGTTCTATAATAGTTCTATTCGTGCGTATCGTTGCTGTTGATCTATTGCCAACAGGCTAACTTGCGAAAGTTGGGATAGTATCTAACTGTAGTTAAGCGAACGCTGGAGCATCAGACCAGTCAGGAAAAATAATCGGTGACGATATTTAATCAGGTGGTTTAGCATAACATTCGAGTGAGAGTTTATTTTTTAGCCTTACGACAAGACGAAAATTTATTTCTGTTAATTACAGTTATTGCATCGGGTCAGCACGAAAGGACTGAAATTATATGTATATTGTAAAATCAATCAGGTGATGAAAGATGTGTTGTAAAGCAAGAACAACCTTTAATAGACAGTTTTCTTGTCGATTCTTTCGGCTTGAAAAATAGTGCCAATGACTTCAAAATGTTTCAAGTTTTTTAGTTTCTAATTGGTGGTATGTCTATCAAAATTCCCGGTCTTTCGCATGTCCAGGTTTTTCTTCTTCGATTGAGTGATAGCCTAAATTGTCAATTATCAGTCAAGACTCATTTATTATATACTCAAGGAACACTTTTTTATTTCGATTCTGAGTTTTAAATTACGCGTTTCAGGGACAGTCTATCGACCATATTCTGTAGATATAAATTTTTGGGGATAAAGGAATAGTTAACAAAATAGCAACAGCACCACGTGAATAGTACTAGTTCACTTCGACGACGACAGCAATCAGTAGATTTTCACAGAAGATTGGTTGCTCTGATTGATTATTAGAGAAACAACGTTTACGTGTACAGCCAAATTATAGAAATGTTTTCTTATAGATTCGTCCTTTATAGTACTAAAAGGATGATATAATCACATGACACACCATTGATCTTATTTACCGCGGCCCATCCATCAAGCATTATGCTGCTAAAGAAAAAGCCGCCATTAACAATTATTTACGCGTTTGATTATCTTAAGAAACACGCTGCAACGAATAATAGGCTACTTTATCAATATTACTATACATAGATTATGGTAAATGCCTTTTATACAACTTTGAGTGTCATCGTACCGAAGACTGTTGTCCGACATATTTCTTGACAAAAAAAATAAACCAAACAATTACCTGCACACAAATGCTTGTAAGTCTGCGAGTAGTGTACTATGAAACATGTATTATGAAAAATGGCAGTTACCGTAAATTATTTGCCTAGTGCAAAAAGAAATTATATCATTCTTAAAGATACGATTATGGATAGAGAGTATAATTAAGTTGGCTAATTCAGTGGAAATGTCACTAGCAATGGCATACATGCCTAAGCGAGGCCATGTTTTTGTTTTCGTTGCATGTCTGTGTTTGAGCCGCAAAACCGTTCGTTGCTCTGCCTCAACTGTATAGGGAAGAGCAAATGACGTGACCAATGCTAATTTAACTTCAGATAAACAAGCGTAAATTTTACAACGCAATCGTATTGTTAATTGACACCAACAATTTCTTTTTCATCTTGGTTAGCTGTAATAGTAATGACCCACTAAATAATATAAAGCAAAGTTATTGGTGAATCTGATAAGAACGCAGGACACTTATAATATCCAAACATTGATGAAGACTAGAAAGTCCAATTTGTTTCTATGGAGAACAAAATGTCAGCAAATAAAGCTAAATGTTGAGACACAGTAGTCGTCACTGTCTGGTAATTATGATAATTATTCCTTAATATTAGACTGATTTGCAGGCAAATTTTTTGTTAAGTGAGACAGCTTGTAAATTCTTTATTTTGAGCTAGAACAGTAAGAGCCAAAAAATTAACTAATTCATAGTATGAACCGGTACCTTTTGCAATAATTGATATACGCATGTTAACAATATTACAGATAATTAATAGAGTAGCCAAAAGATACAATAAATGCTGGAATCTGTCTTAGTTCAGCGCGCAGTCACTCTCAGTCGTCTCAGTCCAGAATTTGGTTGAGCTACAACAATAAGTTTTGTTTTTCACGTAGTTATAACCGATTTGTTAGTAAGACCAAAATCCTTATCGCTAAATAATATTGTAGATTGGTTGAAAAAAGTTTAGAATAATAAAAGTGCGTAGATTGTTATTTGTAGGAATAATATTATGTATTTGATCGTAATCTAAGTTAATCAGATTGATAACAATGCAGTGTTGTTGACATGTGCCGGGAAATAATGATTCTTCATTAAACAATACCATGAACACAGACTTGAAACAATCATAACTGAATTGCGTGCCATTGCTTTAACGTTCAAACTTTGTGTTCATATTAATAGTAAAAGTAAAAGCATATTAATTATTACCGAGTAAGGCAAGAAATGCATTGTCCAACAGTTTGAACCCCTGAAAAATCTTTCTCTCTTAAATTAGTTCTGGATTTGATCTGCTGGAATTAAACCTAATCCAAGTCTCGCCTGCTCTTCAATTTTGTCATACATATGTAATAACGATAATGGACTTCAGTTCTGTATCCGACATGGCCTGGCCAAGACCTGATCTTCCATCGATTGAAGCATTATTTGTAGATCTGTTGAGTCATAAGGCTCGCCCCCTCACTCCTCTCCGCTTCCCCCAACATAGTGATTCAGGCACAAACTGCAGGGGATGGCGATCTCGCGAAATTGCTGTGGCTTATAATCGCCCCTGAAATTTGATATGCTATGCATGACAATCTGCGGAAACACAGCAAACGGTTTAGTTTGGCACAGTAAAATTCTCACTCAAAATCCTAAACATACTTTGAGCTCATAATCGCCATTAGAAAATTTTTGATCGCAGGTAAATCTTAGGTGATTTTTGGTTTTTGCATTTACGTGGTAATGGAGCATTCTAGTATCAGATTGATAGTTGTGATCTTCTTGTAGTATTTATTTTCATCACAAATTTACAATATACTAATACCGAACATTGCGAGTCTCTAATCTCGTAAACATTTACAATTATGCAATCAAGTCTACCTTTTAAAACCAAATTACCATTTACACTAATACTAAATGATACAAATAAATTAATACATCCATATGATAATCTTATTGATGTCTTATTACCCTAATATTTCAATATTAAACCCAGTTAACCATAATTACTATTTCTTCATTATAGTCTCTGCGCAATTTATAACCCATCACACTCAATATTACTGAATCCCTACAGCATTTCTCATCCCATTATGATTTGTTTTCACATCCACTCTTTCTTTCATCATTTTTTTATCCTTCTTCTTCTTTTTTATCATTTCACCCTTTAATCCATTCATTTCATGTTCCTTTCTGATCCAAATTCTGAAATATTTCATGAAACTCCTTCCTGTGTCAAATTCTCGCATAACCGTCTCTACAAATCTTGCATACTCTTCTCCATCCATTCCCAGTAATTCATACAATCTCGGTCCCATCGCTTTCATGAAATCCGAACAATCTTGTGCAGCTAAAGCACCCTCTTTGCCGCCCCATGAGCCGAGTTTTATATCTCGCGAGTCAGTAGAGAGCTCCGAGAGCGAGTCGAACGAGCTTACGAGATCGAGAAGTGTATAGCAAGTTGAAGGATTTACTTGAATTTTACTCAGGTATGATGAGACTGGAAGCAATAGAATTGCAAGAGAGAAAGTGAATGAATAACGGAAATATTGTTAGCATTGGATCTTGTAAAGGTTAAATTCGGATAGGTGAGGAAATATATACTTACGCGCTGCATTCCATCTGCTACCGTTCGTGCCCAAATTGACTAACCTCAGATCCGGTTCACCCAACTGTCGGGAAAAAAAGAATCTGTCAATATATGACTTAAATTGATGTTATCAAACATTTCGTATATTTCGATGATTACCTCGATCCATCCGTTAGGCTTGCAAACCCTAACCAATTCCGGTAGAATCGCATTTTTCCATTGTTCTTCAGTAAACGCGGTAGTCAACCACCGGATGAAAACGTAGTCAAACGTATCATCAGGGAACGGGAGTCCTTTGGTTGCGTTGAGTTGAAGAAATGATACATTCTTTGGTTTGATTTCTGATGGAAACATTGGAGAAATATCTACGCCGACAAAGGTCGACTGTTGGTACTCGCTGGCGAGTTCGAGAGTCCATGTGCCTGGGCCACAGCTAGAATAAAGGGAAAAGAGAGTGTGTGTCAGCAGTGTCAATGCATAAACCTTGGATCAGTCGGAATAAATTGTATATGAGGTGAGCAACATGGTTCCTATTTTTCTTTTCTATCCTTGTAATTTAGTTCGACAAGTCGATTGAATCTCCACTCCACTCCACTCCACTCTACTCTTATTCTTATAATAGTCGCCCACCCGGTTGCATACTTACCCAACATCCAACACATGCGCGCCATTCTGGAGCATTTCCTCAACAGGAGCGGAAAAATTTGAATTCCAAACATATCTTAATAGATAGTGTACGACTTGTAATCTATATACTTCCTCGTCGTCATCGGGCAATGCGTAGCGTGTTTGCTCTGCAATATGGTAGCGCCTACCGTCTATGTACTGAAAGTTACCATCAGAAGATCGAGTTTGTGAGAGCGAGGATGGATCAAAGGATGCAGAAGAGGCAAAAGTGTTGGAGCTGTCTGAATTGTTGGAAGCATCGGAAGAAGATTTTTTGTGTTTTGAGCGTTTCTTTACTGACAAATTTGCGCCCATTTCTTTAATTGGGAGGAGTTTTTGCTTTTAGTTTATATATAGGGACGAGGGTGATAAATAATTGAAATTGTAAAAAGTTCGTCGATTTGAAAACGTTGATTTAGTCTGATTTAACCGTTAAACATTCTATTCTTAATTATTTTACGTATAAGATTTTTTTTTTGTTCTTTATTTATATTTATGATATTGCTGGTCGTCCCTTCGATGGATGAGAAAGTATCTAAAATCGAGTGGTTGTTGATGATTATGCGGGAAAGCGGAAGAAGGGCGATGTGAATAGGGTGGCAATGAGGCGTGTATATATGGGAAATTTGGCATCAGAAAACAGTAGCTATTTTTTGTTTATTATCACAATGGGTGGCACCGAATAAGCAGATGACCCTGCATCGTAATAGTCTTTAATGTGATGGAGGAATATAGTGTAATGTCTAAAGCATATATTAATATGTATGTATATATTTGATGCGAAACCCGTCATCATCCGATAACATAACCAAACTATCCACTCCCTATTTCTGTTATCTTTATTTGGTCGATCATCTGCCACTCCCCGTTCTCATTGGAGGGCTGCACGCAATGCAAAAGATACAAGTATAATTTAATTTAATTTGCTCGTATGATTGAACGAAAGTGTTGGCACATAAGGCACATAATATGAGATGGGTTCCGTGTGCATATGGGATACTATTATTGGAAATAACGTGACCACTCAATAAAAAGAGCGGGCGGGATTTGTTTCGATAGTGGGTAATCAGTTTGAACACGTATCAAATTTCTTCAAAGTTTCTATTTTTGGAATAGTTAAGTTGGTCACAAAATGTTAGTAATGTAGATGCTTTGTAAATGCCGATTGGTTTGTTAGTGAAATCTCTTTTGATGTTTAATGAATGACTACTCATAGGTCTCGAATAAGATTCAAACACTGGGTTTCAGAATAGAGTAAAGATGATAGCGGTAGGCTATAAATATCTACTAGTATCCAATATAATTAATTTTAATATTACAAAAGCTTAGATAAAATACGGACAATGTGTCCGGTTATAGTTTTGTGTTGAAACGATAATTTCCAAGACTCCAAATCCATACGGTAAACTAATAAGGCATCTCGCACAGCCCAAAATGCACCTGTGTCAACCGAGAGTGATGTCACTCTACAGATAAATTTAAAGGCCAATCAGTTATACTGGTGCCTAAGAGGTTACCATGCGTATTTTGCGTCTGCATCTTGGACATTGACCAAATGCAAATTGAAATGTGAATTAATACTAATCAAAAAATGGACATTGTAATAAGCAAACTGATATACTATTACGTCAAGCAGCATCCGACATCATAACGACAATAATAATGTTAATCTCTTTTTTGCGGGTCCGTGTGTGAACAATCGATTATGCTTTGATTTTTCCCGCAGTTCAGGCGCTTTACTGGAATGCCAATTTTATATAATAGTAGATAACAAACATACAATTCGGCCAGACGTGAAACAAGAATGCAACACATGTAAATTGGTTTCATGTCTTGCCTACGGTCTGTGTACCAGAAACCATATTCGTGAGTATGAGAATACCTAAAAAGCAGCAATGTTGTGTAAAGTTTATTAAAAACTTGCCAAGTTATTTTGGTATATAGTGTCTATACGTGTATACATGTAGGGAAAGGAATTCCTTGTATATTGAAATCTAAAAGTAGCGGACGGTCAATTTGCGCAATTTACAGATGATCAGAACTTTTCTCATATAATATAATACAGAAAGAGAATGTCTTTTTTAAAGTAACACGATTGTATCATACTGCTTACTATTATCATTCACATCTCTTGTGATTGTAGAGCATTCCGCCAGATTCCCAGCGATGGGAAGTGGGGGGTAGTTTGATTGACAACATGATCTGCAGCCAATCATGTCGCATCAAACAGATAAACAATTCGAACCCCTTTGAATAAATTCCCTCAAACGAACATATTGTTCCGGATCTGTATATGCTAAAGAAGTTTGGGGGAGGGGGGGTAATTATATCTATTGACTAAATGGTATATGCATTTATGTAATAAACATACGTGGAAGTATCTTATTGAAATGCATTATTATACTTTGGTGTTCAACCGAAAGCTTTCCGGAAGATAGATAAATTCAGTCATTTCGAACGCCAAAGGCGAGTGACGGATTTGTATTTCGGCGTACGAGTCAACGAAATCATATCAGGCAATGGTTACATTGTTCTGGGAATAAGAAAAGCCGGTGAACTATATCTGCACTCTATGCAACCTTACCATTTTGTCATACTATAAATTTTTGATAAGATTTCGACAAGTATATCGCATCGTAAAAATGCTAGACCTCTCACGATGCTATATACAAGTTAATGTATTAACTGAATGTCAATTATAACAAATTAGTGAGACGAATTTGCAAAAATAAAACGAAGACAAAGGGAATATAAAAACGGTATGTCGATAACCATATTATGGGCTGCATAATATGCGTAGTGTTAGGTATAAGCAAATTACTTTATTTTTTGCAAGGGCGACTAAACTATAACAAGGTAATTTCAACTCGGAGGTACCTTAAATATCATGTCTGATCCCATCTATAATTAACTACTAAATTAGAAGCAAGTATTATGCAGTTTGCAGATTCTAACGTGTCAGCGTACACTTTAAATCTATTTGTTCATAAGCTTTTATATTTGTAAAAAAAAGTCTAACAGGCGAGAGACCATGGGAAAAAAATTAGAGATGTGGATAGATCTACACGATGAGTTGACGTTGATGTATGATAAAGAGTCATTCATACTGATAGTGGAAGTAGCCAAAGCCACGCGGCATAAAAAACAATATGCATAGTATTAACAAAGATCTGATTTAACAAAGATGGCTTTGTAACAGAGCTGGGGGTTTTTTTGAACTACAGTAAGTCCCCGTTAGCAAATAGTTTACATTAACAAGTCAGGTGATGTAACGGGCACTTTGACTTTACAACGTGGCATGTGTAACTAATCATGTCTTATTAGCTGGACGCTCAATTGTTGTCTAGAAAAATTTAATGACATTATTCCTGAGTGACTAAAAAATTAACTTGTCATTTCACTACAGAAAGTTTTTTTCCAAACTCTATTAATCAGAGACTACTATATTGCTTCCGTTACTTTTCGCAAGACTTTCTTCCGTGTGTTTCCTAGTGAAATGAAAAGCCTTGAAAGCAGACAGACATTCTATCTTCTTTTATCCTTGCATTAGAATAAATTTCTGATTCTAATAAAGCCGTGTATAAATGGGGCAGACTGCAACAAAACCAAACAAAATAAAAGTGAACATTTGATTAAGTGAGGAGCTAAAAATAGTTGGCTAAGATCACATTAATATAAACAATACTAATAGTTGGGAAGTCTTTACTTGAGTGGTACAACTGTGACTCTAGTACAAACCCATATACTAATTTTTAGCTTTATTTTAAATTTGTATTAATACAAGATGTAACTAATAATTATACTGTTATATATAAGAATATGTTTAAGGTATAACATGTTTATATTTAATATAGGCCTATCACTATAAAAATATAAAATAAAATTAATTTGCGTTAAATCCACCATGGAGCCAAAAAATTACTGCACTGTTAGACGCATATGTAAAAAAAAATTATGTGTTTTAAATAAATAACATCAACATTCTCGAGAATTATCTAGACAAAGAAAAATTTACTTATAAAATTTATCGAGTGGAACGAAAATAATAATAATAAACAACGTTAGCATCAAGTTATGATAAACCAAGCAAAAAGCAAAGACTGGAAATATAAGCAAATAGTTACTCGTTTATGTTGTTGGATATCCATGACAATTATATGCGGTCGGCAGTCGGGTTGTGGGAAACGATAAGCTTTCGCGTATACGTGTTTTCTGACAGGAAAATGTCCTAACTTAGCTTCAGCACACCGTCTTTATTCCGGTAATCGCTTTTGCAACTGGATCTAAAATTACAAATGACCTTATTTAACGTGCGCTCTTCTTCACTTTTTATGCGATATACCTTCCATACTCGTATCTAAATAAGGATTTCTATGATATAGTAACGAGAGTTATTTATTCTAGTTTAAATAGAACAATCTTCGATTTGGTATGTCGACTAGTCGGGCTTGTTTATATTAAAACTAATTAATATTAAACACTAATTGTTTGCAACGTTAATTATACACTCCCGTTTCGCTATTTGCGTAATTAATCAACGAATATTTTACAGCTTAAATAAACCGTTTATATATCAGTCGTTACAGCTTAAATGGGCTGTTTATACCGAAACCTTACAGCTTTTATGTGAGCCGTTTATAGACATATCTAGTTAATTAATATTTCAATGATAAAAAAAAGAAAATTCAAAACTCGTTTATTTAATATTCCATGGATAAATAATCTCATCCGTTGTTTCAACGCACCAATTATGATCAAGCATGAGTCTTTTTTCAATGGAATATGAGCTACTTATACATCTTATTCTGACACGGAAAATTCGTCACAGAAAGTAACTAAAGAGCGAATAAAATTCCAAGCTAATTATAGCGTTTGTCACGGAATGACTATTTTTGCGTCTGACACGGATTTCCGTCACGGTGCGGAAAATGCATTACGCCGTGTAACTATTCTAAATTAACGTTGATCATGGGACTGCGGAGGGGATTTATCACCTGACGATTGCGTCCCAAGAATATACTACTGGACAATAAATATGATTATTTTGGTTCCTTGTGCCCCAAGTACACGATTTATGACCAGCAAACCCATTATCATATTAAATAATGGATAAGTATGAAAATTAATAAATCTTAGGAGATTGATGCGCAAAACCGTTTGATCAACAAATTAATCTTAATTGTTTCAAGATTTAATGGCGTGTGAAATGGGAGGATAGGTTATAAAAGCAACACCATTTATTCATGTTTTACTTAAAAACCAAATTTACAATCGATCAATTACAATGCTTCCTTCTATTGAATTCTTTTGCGGGCTATTAATTGGACTTGATCTCAGTCTTTCGCTGCGTTATAAGACTTGCAATAAGCTCTACGACATAAACCAGAAACCTGAATCAATAAGAAAATTTTAAAGTAAAATCTAAAGCCGTTAAATTACTCAGCGAGCGAAAATACTAAAAGAAATCGAAAATTTGTGGAAAAATTATTTGATAAAAAACTTGAACTTTCTCATTAATTGAAATCTACACTTTACGTGAAGGGAAAAGGCATTGTTGTATCAACTCTAAAAAACTTTTACCTACGAAACACCAATCCATGGAAAATGACATACAGGGATGGGTTGATAAAGAAAGAACATTGATAGCATTAATAATACTGTGTTTGCTGGCGCGACCAAAGTACATGTACTCAGTGGCTTTGGGTTCGAGTATTTCGCTCTATTGACTATACAAATGTTAACGAAGGTTCGTTTTAACAAAAATAGCCTTATAACGAAGCAGGTTTAATGGAACCGATTCATTCATACTGTATGTTTAGCTGCCGGTTTAACACTTAAAATCTGTATAACGATATAACGAATTTCAAGCCCACTAGTAAGAAAATCATTCAGTTTAACGAATATTGCCTAAATTAGCATGATATACTAATACCAAAGTTCGTTATAACATTACTGTATATAGAGATCTGACCAACACATCGCGTGTAATAAAAATGTCTGATTTATCAGAAATTTGATTGAACAACTTCCCTCAGAGCCGGCTCCCTCTTGCTGAATTAGAAATATCTAAACTTTTTAGAGGTTTTATTACTATCAGTCAGTTTGTACTACACTACATTGTGTTGATTATTTTTCCGTAACCAATAATATTACGAAATATTTACATGTGACTATACCAATTCGTTTGATGCGAAATCTATTAAGCAGATCGTTATATGCAAATTCAAAATCATACTTAATATTCTATGTCAATTTTTCGCACACACATGGACAACAATTACTTTTAACTTGCATGTAAATTTCATAAGCATAGGGTTTTTGGTCGCTGATTTGGGCTTTTTAGCGATAGAGATTGATTTCGCGTTTTCGAAAAATCAAGTAGATTGCTATATGCAACTTCGAAATCGTACTTAATATTCCATGTCAATTTCTTGCACACACATGGACAACAGTTACGATTAACATGTATGTAAATTTTATAAGCATACAATTCTTGCTTGCTGATTTAGGATTTCTAGCGATAAAGAATGATTTCGCGTTTTCGAAAAATCAAGTAGATTGTTATATGCAACTTCGAAATCGTACTTAATATTCTGGCCGCATTCGGAACATTTTTTTATTGTTGAGAAATCTTCATGTCAATTTTTTGCACATACATGGACAACAGTTACTCCTAACATGCTTGTAAATTTTATAAGCATACAATTCTTACTTGCTGATTTAGGGTTTCTAGCGATAAAGATTGATTTCGCTCATCATAGTTATACACATGATATATCCCCAAAATTATTCAATTGCATCATGCCAATTATTAGTTATTTACATAATAGTATTACATAAACCCCACACACGACCACCCGACTTTTCGCAGTAGCCTGACCACCTCCACCTCCACCGTAGGCGTAAAAAAATTAACATTATAATGTTTATGTTGGCGGTGGTGGTGGTGGGGGTGGTGGTGGCTGTTTTTACAATTATATAAGTGTCGGTCCTGCAATACAAGGAAGAATAAGTTAGACATTTGCTGAAATAATACATATTATTGAAGTTAAGTAATAGAGGACCAGTAAAAGTTCACAAATCTTATCTAAACTGCATTGCATCTAGAATATCCTTAATGCCTACGGAACTCAATCCCTTGGGTAGCCTATTGACTACGACATAGTCCCAACGGAGAGAGACAGGTGGTGCTACGCGATTGCTATGTTCCTCATACCCCAATAATAAAATAAACTTCTACTTTTTAACATACTAACCTCTTCAAAGGGCCAGACACTATCGTGGCAGCGTCTCTTGAGGACACTGATGTGGCGATGGAATTGATTCTTAGAGCAATTTAATATCTCTAGATTAATAAAATCCGAGATAACTTGGCAACGTCCCTTGAGGACGGCGACGTGGCGGCAGCGTCCCTCGAAGACGCCGATGTTGCAGTGGCGCTTCTTGTTGTTGGCATAATGACAGTCAACGCAAGTGATAGTAAGTGCGTTATTATTGCGCGCTTAACCAAGTGGGTTCTCCACTTGATGTGCTGCCACCTCAACGTGGTTAGTGGGTAACAAGTTTATTTATTATCGTGAACGGCGAAGAGCAGTATATCAATAAAAAGCACAGTAAATCAGGGGGTCACCGATGTGTGCTGAATTAAGACCTCAAAAACTCCAGTGTGTTCGTCTTTATTATTATATTAATATCGCTACGTGTCTGTGTAACTTGATACTAATACCTACCTTTTGCACGTGGAAGCAATACTACGTTTTTGACTAAATTTGGAAAAGTAAAATATCTTATATTCTGATGTATATATAATATAATATACAATCAAAGTACTAGCTGATCAACCGATTTCATCTTTGAACTAACTTTAAACCAATTCAGATAAAAATTAACATAATTACCGTATATTAGTCGTTAATATAAACAGCGTATCAATTAACAGTATACCAATTATTAAAGTTTACATACTAATACAATATTTTACGTCTAAATAATAATATGTTAATATTTTATAAATAAAGTTATAAATATTTAATGTATTAATTATATTTAAACCGATAACATACATGCAATTATTTGTTGTTATTTTTTGTTTCACAACGACCGATATCAATAATGCAGTAATGATTTTATCCACACGATACAACATTGATATTTACATCATTATAAGAAATTATATAAAGATACAACAATCGCAGTACCAATACCTACAACAATCTTAAACGCTTGCTTAAATTCGTTCAACGGAAGACGTTGGCTGCTTGCACTACTACGAATTTGTAAACTAAACCTTGATATTCCCTTCCAACTTTCTAAACTTTCTTCCAACACGGTATTAAACTATGAATAAACTATAAACGTCTCTTATTTCAATACAAAAAGGTCTGAATCAACACACTAGTGCATACGATAGTTTGATTTCTCGAACTACTTTTTACCCAATAAAAACTTGCTTGAATGAAGAATCATCAAATGACAATTGAAACCAAACGTACCATTCTCTTTTATTCTCTCGGTTCCATTACATGTCATGACTGTTTATAAGGCTTAACTTTAATATGTAATATTATTATTCATATGAAATAATGTCATAAAAATAATTTTTAAGCAAAATAATGACATCAACTTTATACAATCCCATTTACATCAAATTATAACAATCTATTAACACGATGTAATAGTAACTTTATTATTCGTAAAAATTGTGCCAACGTAAACATTCCACTAATATCACTATATTTGAACAATTGCAGCATAAATTTTGCTTTAATAAAAGTATTTTTATTTTCAACATACAACAAATCGTATATTGCCATTAAATCAAAGTTGAGAAATGACCATTGATGTTTTGGTTACGCAGGAAGATTTATCAACTTTCCCTTTATTTCAATCATATCCATCAATTGAAATAGACGATATGCTCGTATCGGTAACGGTAAACAAAACTCCCAACTTGTCAATCTTGCAAAAAGTCATCAACAAGGCTGCGAATTCCTTCCTTTGTCCCAATACCTCAAGAAATCAGCAACGTTCCATATTCGAAGAGAAATATTTTTTTACACTCCAGTTTGACAAACGCCAATGCATACACGGAATGCCGTCTTCTTGTAGGACAATGTGACTTTCTAAAAATCTAAGAACTCTCAATTGTACTCGTACTCGGGAATGCTTGGAGCCTTCCTTGAAAACTTCGACACTTTACCAAATATTAGCACCATACCTTACGAAATGCAGCAATTTGACTTCAACAAAGTAAGCCTTACCTTCGCCAACCAGCACTAGCATATATATGTTTTGTTTTGTTTTGTTTTGTTTTTTTTTATAATGAAGAATTATTACTCTGTTGTAGATAGTAGACTTAACTACGAAAGCTTTGGTGTGCTCTGCCGCAGTCGACCGGACGTCCGGTGGCTTCACCCCAACCATGGCTTTAACTAATAAAGTATACAGCCGGCTTAACAGAACTAGCCGTACAGTACAATAACGAATTACTGAGAAAATCCTGATCTGCAAAAAGCCGGAAGGCATGGAAAAGTTACAGCAACAAAAGAATAACAACATTTGAACATTATAATTTCTGAATGCGATCTCTCCTTTCTGGTAAAAGTATAACAATTACTGCATAAATACTTACATTTTTAATAAATTTACTATAAGCAGTCAGTCGTTAGAGCTCTTCTTCATAAAGTATTTAACTACTTTATCTTTAATACCAGATCAAATTTATCAATGATATAGATTCCAGCTTATAGTTAACATTTATTTTAAAATTGTTACCAACAATTACAGTAAATAAAAAATATATATTCAAACTATTTTACAGTGGTCGTCATAAATATCCGGAATTTTGCGTTTGTTTTGTTCACTAAAACTTCAATGCTAAAAAATATCAACA